TAAAGAGTCTCGGCATTAGGAAGGTTGAGAACCACTGGTCTATTCAGATTTTCTATTTCTTCCTGATTCAGTCTTAGTAAGTTATATGTTTCTAGAAATATATGCATTTATGCTAGGTTATCCAATTTTTTAGCATATAGTTGGTCATTATAGCCTCTTATGATCCTTTGTATTTCTGTGGTATCAGTTGTAACATCTCCTCTTTCATTTCTGATTTTATTTATTTAAGCCCTCTTTTTTTTTTTTTGGTGAGACCAGCTAAAGATATGTCAATTTTGTTTATCTTTTCAAAGAACCAGCTCTTAGCTTTATTTTTTCCTGTTGTCTTTTTAATCTCTATTTCATTTATTTACTCTTGGACCTTGTTATTTCCTTCCTTCTAGTAACTTTGAGCTTTGCTCATTCTTCATTTTCTAGTTCTCTGAGGTGCAAAGTTAGATTGCTTATTTGAGACTTTTCTTATTTCTTGAGATAGACATTTATCACTATGAACTTTCTTCTTAGAACTGCTTTGGCTGCATCTAGGGTAGCAGGTAGGATTTGAAGGCCCTTGCTGCCCTGGAGAACCTACTGAAAGTCGCCATGAGAGCTCACAGTGTCTGCCAAAAGGAAGGAAACTCTCAAGCCTCATAATATCCTCAAATCCATTAATGTTGGTAGCAACCAAGAGCTGGCAGGTGGTTCTCTGACTCCAAACAAGAGATACCCCAGGAGAGGGGGCAATGTGGTTATCTGCCCCCCAGGAGGCTCTGCCCTGAGGCCCTTTTCCTGCTGTCAGTGTCACTCTTTCTCTTTAGTTCCCTCCTTTTGAAGCCAAGGTGGAGGCACAGCCCTGTGTCCACAGCTGCCTGAGTCACAGCGTGCACACTCTTGCCCTGCTCCCTGACACCAGCCAAAGCCTGGCCCAGAGCTGCCCACCTAGTGCCCAGTGAGTGAATGGGGCCTGAGCACACAAGCCCCTCACCTTCCACGCAGAGTTTCTACAGCATCTGACTCTGCCCCACTCCTGGGTCCTGCCACACCCTTTTCCATAGGACTCCCAGGTCCCCCCATCTCAGGCTCCAAGACCCCTCCAGGGGAACAAAAGGCTGAAAGAGAGCTGGCACCCCCCCAGCCTGGTGGCCTGGGGGGAGAAGCAGGCAGGGCCGCATTGCCCTTGAGCCAAGCAGCGAATGAACTGCATACCAAGCTGAGCAGAGCTTGTTGTAGGGCTGCTGGGGAGTCCAGCCAGGCCCTAGACATTCTGAGCCTAAGGGAGAGGGGATTAGACACAGGCCTCCCATGGAGGAAATTCTCGTCCAGTTCCTGCGTGTGCATGCTACGTTGCCAGGCACTACAGGCACCGGGAGAAGAGGGTGGGCAGGCGGTGGGCTTCCCCGGCTGCATGTAATGGTCTCATTCTCAGACGAAGAAACGGAGGCTCAGTCTCTGCATAGTCACTTAGCCAGAGCTCAGGGGGGAATTGATATCCCAGCCGAGAAGGGGTCCCTCTGACCCCAACAGCAGTGCCTCCGTCTGGGGGACTAAAATCCTGAGGGGAGGCGTCACCCAGGCCCTGCACCCACTGACCTCTCCTGGCTGCAGCTGAGTGGATGCTGTTCCTACGGGAAATGGGGCCGAGGAGGGACGACAGCTATTAATCTCACGCACAAACACTGCGCTGCCTTGGGGCAGAGACGCGAGGGGAGAGGAGGGGAGAGGAGGAAAGGTAGACCAGAAGGCTCTCCTCTGAGAAGCCTTGCCCTGCTGATATGAAGAGGCAAGTGGCTCAGAACCGCCTTCCCTGTCCCTTCCTATTTGCCCTCCAGTGCCAGTGGCGGGAGGGAGGGCACCCACTCATGAGGGTGAGTACAGATGCCCACGTGCACAGCCATGCCCAAAGGCTGGGAGACATTCTGATCTGGGTTTGCATTCTGATTCGGCCACCTACTGACTTAACCTTCCCACTCAGCCCCCGCCCCCGCCTTCATCTTATAGATGGGCCCCTTGTAGGGCTGTGGTGAGGACCCGTGGACCCGTGAGGGCTGCAGAAGCCCTGGCACAGGCAGCAGCAAAGCTGTCATGACAGAGAAGCCCTGGGAGAGTCTACACGGGCCTCCCTAGCACCTCCTGCATGAGCTTTCATTTGTTCAAGAAAATCTTTATCCCTCCTTCGTTTCTGAAGGACAGCTTCACTAGTTATAGTATTCTTGGTTGATGGTTTTATTCTTTCAATATTTTATACTAGAGGACTGTTGCACGAAGAGATTCGTGCAATAGGCCTTCCCTTCCCTTGGCTGCTGGCACCGGTTAGCTTCTGGCACCCGGGACCCAGGCCTTCACTCTGGCCGGGCTCTGGCTGGAGCTGTCCGGCTTTGCTGCTCCAGCTTCACTGCTCCGGCCCAGGGGCCATCCAGCTTCACTCCGCAGCTTGGAGCCTACGTATGCAAGTTAACTCCCATCTTTGTTGGGTTAATTTGCATACTCTCCTGATTGGCTGGTTAGCATAGTGAAGGTACAGTCAATTTACATGTTTGTCTATTATTAGGTTAGATAAGCTCTTCCATTCTCTTCTGGCCTGAAAAGTGTCTGTTAGGAAGCCTAGTCTACGGGGGTTCCCTTGTTTGTAACTCATCTGTTTCTCTTACTGCTTTTTAAATTCTTTCTGTCTTGCCCAGCTAGTGTGGCTCCATGGCTGAGCATCTTGAGCATCAACCCATGAACCAGGAGGTCATGGTTCAATTCCCAGTCAGGGCACAGGCCCAGATTGTGGGCTCGATCCCCAGCAGGAGGTGTGCAGCAGGCAGCTACTGGGGCTATGACTCGGCTCTCTGCCTGGGTGTGGGCAGACCAGGCTCCAGGGCCAGCAAAACCCTTGGTTTGAGGACCCAAATCAGGCAGACCTGTGCCTGGCAAGTCCTCTGGCCTCACTGCACCAGCACCTTGGTTCTGCAGATGAGCAAAGCCGCTGGATGGAACGATTACTTGGGCGCTGCAGGTTGGAACCTAGTCTGCTGAGATCCAAGAGCCGGGTGTTGGGAGCCTCACCACCTTCTCCGTCACAATCAAGTTCCTGGTGGTTAAGCCCCACATTCCCCTGCAATCCGTTGGGCAGGGGCTCCCATGAAATGACCCCTCCCCCCACAGCACCCTCCCCACCCAGTGCCCCCCTCCCCAGCCCGGCCCGATCTCAGGCTCTGAGTGAGGGTAGCTCCCCACACAGCAGAATCCTCACTGAAGCTGAGGCAGCCCCTGCTTCATCCCTGGACATGGACTCAGGCTTTGAGCTTTGGGCTCAGGTCACAGAGCCAGGAAGTGTCTTAAGGCCAGAGCTCCTCACCACACTGCCGTCCTGTGGGAAGTTTCCGTGCAGTTGAGGGGTGGAGTGGGGCCATTATCATGCCCAGTGTTGCTCCCATAAGAAAGCAGTCAGGGGCACCTCAGAGCTTTGGGAAGCCTCTATTCCTGGGTTAAGATGACCCTAAGCCCGTCTGCTATGGGAAGAGCAGAGCAGCCTACTCTTTCCTTGTCTTTGCATAAAATCTCCAGGAGGAACTGATCCATTTGTGACCTTAAGGAGGAACGAGATGGCCCATGGACGGAGCGACTTCTGCACCATCTGAGCATCGAGCCTGTGAACATGAGCCTATTCAAAACAAACGTCCTTTAAAAGTATTTCTGAGACTGAGGCTGGAAGTTTCAGAACTGACTACCGGCTCTAGCCGCACGCCTGCCACACGCTAACTTGGACAGCTCGGTCTTCTCATGGCCTCTGGCCCAGGCCAGTGAGCGCTGAGCCGGTCAGCGCAAGGCTCAAGGCTCGGCAGCTCCAACTCTGCTTCTAGACTCCCCAGGCAGCGTCGAGAATCCATGAGGGAGGGATGGGACGGTTTAGGAGTCTTTTGAAAAAGTCCCTTTGTAAACCTTGGCCCGGGCGGGGGCTGCTTACTCAGCTGGAAGCCACCCCCTTCCTGGGACCCCGTCTTCAGCCCCGCAGGAGGCGAGGGGAAGACAGGAGCGGCCGAGGGAGGGGCGGGAGCGTGGCAGCTGGAGCCCGGCTCTCGGAGACACGTGCACCTGGGTGACCTTGAGATCATTTAACCTCTCTGAGCCTACGTTTCCTCGTCTACAAAATAATGCCAACCTCGCAGAGCAAAGGGCCGCACGAGGTGACATGACAGCACTTGGCATCCGGGTGCTCCACAGAGGCTCCCTGTCCCTTCTCTCCCTCCATCAGAGTGTGTGGGGCCCTGGGACCACAGGCGCGGAGGTCAGCGCGTATGCGTGTCTGGAAGCTGGTTTTCTTATGCAAACCCATGACACAGGGCCACCTCAAGCTGGCGCCGTGCACGTCTGCTGCTGCAGACCCAAGAACGGATGCACTGTGTGCTCGGTGTTCAATCCCCCACCGCCTGCCAGGGCTCCAGGGGTTTCTCTTGCATCTGGCAGGCAGTGGGGCAGGAGGGGGATGAAGGGAGCGGTGGAGAGGTCGCACCTCCCAGGGCACAGGGAGGGGAGGGATCTGCCTTGCAGGGAGCTCAGCTACTTTCTCCAGGACCCGGCACTTAAAGGTGCCCGAGCCTTGATTTCCTCGCCCAAAGGAATGAAGATGGCAATCCCTGCATCACCAGTGTGTCGTGATGATCAGATCAGCTTCCTAGATGTTCTGTGAACATTAACGTCTCCCTCCGCTGTTCTGTTGTTGTTAATCCTCACCCGAGGGTATTTTCCCACTGACTTTAAGGGAGATTGAAAGAGAGAGGGAAAGACAGGGAGAAACATCAATGTGAGAGAAACACATCCATTGGTTGCCTCCTGCACAAGCCCCTACCAGGGCCCGGGCCGGGGAGCAGCCCGCAACCAAGGTACATACCCTTGCCTAGACTCGAACCCAGGACCCTTTGGTCCACAAACTGACACTCTACCCACGGAGCCAAACCAGCCAGTGCTCCTTCCTCTGTTCTTAAGAGGGAGGAGGCAGAGGCCCTGGCGAGGACACACTCACACAGCCGCCTTGTAGAAAATGGACCAGCAGAGATTTAATTGATGTACGAACACAGGCGGGTTACAGAGACGGTGCAACACATACGCTAGTCCCACAGGATCAGCCACGGACCTTTTCCTGTGTGGCAGACGGAGCTGAGCACGCAGGATGGATAAAAGCCATCAGGTCTTGTTTCTTATTCCGGGACTAAGAAGTTCGTGGCGGGAGGGCTGAGAGTCGGTCTCCATGCATAGAGGCCAGGGCAACCCCACAGCCTTCCCGGCAAGAAGGGAATGTTCTTTTCTTTACACCGAGACAGATGTCAGAGACGTGTCTGGGGACCCCCGGGGGCCGCTGTGAGAGGGATGCAGAGGGCTGTGCAGATCGGCAGTGGCTCCTGGGGCACAAGACCCCTCCCTTTAAGGCCCCACTCCGGCCCTGCCCCCACCTCCTTAGACCGAGTCTCCCGGCTGAGCAGGGTGGGCACAGCAGAAAACAGCTAGAAACAAGCACAAGTGGATACACCCAGGGGTGAGAGGCGAGAGCACCAGAGCCATCCCGGCTTTCCTGGGCGGCTCTCACTGAGTTGTGTGCTGCAGACCTGAGAAGCCACGGGGAGGGCTCTGCGCGGAGCCCAGCAAAGGGCAGGGTGCCCTGGGGACAGCACAGAGCGGCCGAGGGAAGGGGGGCCCCAGCACCCCCGGGCAGGGCTGGGCCCAATCCTGAGATAGTCAAAAGGAGAAACAGAGAACTCAAGAAAGGGGACGTTTTAAAAAAGGGAAGGAGGAGAAAAGAGAGAAATGGCCTGAGCTCATGTGCTGAGGTATTGGAGAGACAGCGTCCCAGGCACAGGGCACCGGACACAGGACGCGGGGGCCTTGCTCATGGAGCGAGGACCGCGCATGGCACTGTCGGAGCCCTGCAGGCCGGTGCAGGCTCACCTCGCTCCACAGGGATCCCTGGGCCTCTGACATCAACGCCGGCGATGCCCCCTCCCCGAAGGTGCCCATGTCCCGGGGGCCCCACATCAGCGCTGCCATATCCCCACAGCGGCTCACAGACGCCCCACGGTCACCCCGCAGTCCGCTTGAGGTCGCTGCAGGTGGCTCCTAGCTCCCAGCTCTGCCGTCCTCTCCCCCAGCCCGCTTCCCCCGCTGCAGAGCTTCCTCCGAGGCAGCGGGTGCGGCCCCTCCGCGGCCCCGGGCCCGGGTGCAGGCGATGCGGGGCCCACACGGCCGCCCGAGCCTCAGTAGCGGTTCACCTGCAGCCTGTTGTTCTCATCCAGGCTCAGCTGCAGGAGGCCCGAGGCTGCTGGCTTGGGCACTAAGAACAGATGCCTGGCCACAAGGTGAAGGAAAACTGCAGGCAGCTGAGCACCGGGAAAGGCCAGGGAAAGAAGGGAAGGAAGGGAAGGAAGCCCAACAGGATCCTCCTCGGACCCCAGGGCACAAACACAGCCGCCCGCTCCGCCAGCCCGGCTACAGCAGGAAGGGGCCAGGGTCTGAGAGCTGGCTGAAAGGATATAACTTGGGGTCATTCCTGTAGCGCTCCAGCCACCGCCGGTTAGCCTCGATCATGCCCTGCAGACTGGCGCTGCCCACCTCGGGGACGCGGGAGTGGGGGGGCTGCAGGAGGCGGAGCTGCTCCCTGGGAGGAGGAGGCAGGGGCAGGAGGGCGGGGGAGGGCCTGTGACTCGGTGACCAAAGGCAGCACATCGCCCCCTCCCCCAACATCAGCTACAGGCCTGTGGGTGGCTTTAGCCATTCAAAGCTTCCCCCGCTGGCAGGAGGCCCTCGGGACTGTCCCCCCGAGGTGGGTTCTCCTGACATCAACACTGTGGAGTCCACACGCACATATCCTGGTCCCATCTCATCAGCAAATGCCCGCCCAGCATCAGCTCCCACTGGTCAGAGGGGTGGGGGGTGCTAATGGTTGGGCCTGTGGTGAGGGGGCGGGGAGGGGCATGTGGCCAGGAACAGGATAAGCAGGCTCAAATGCTGGCCCACCTGTCTCCCCCACAGGGAGCCCCCTCCTCCAGATGCTGCTACAGGACTGGGGAGGCAAGGAACTGTGGGCAAAGCCACTCCGGGCTAGAGAGCTGCAGGGCCACGCGAGGGCTGTGCCAGGGCTGGCCAGGCTGCTTCCTCCCCGAGTGCCACAGGGCACTTCCTCAGGAGCTGGGCTCCGGGGGCTCTCCTCTGCTGTGTGGAGGGGCGGCTGGGGCCCAGGCCTGCCTGACCCTCAGGGTGCCCCACCTTGCGCTCTGCTCCCCTCAGAGGTGGCGCCAGAGCTGCAGGGGGTCTTACCTGGCAGACACGTAGCCCAGCCTGTCCTCCAAGGGCACCGGGCTGCTGCGGAGGCTGGGGCTCCCGGCTGGGAAGCAGGAAGCAATGGCTCAGGACAGGCCAGCTGGGCTGAGCCGCAGCCGCCCACCCGAGCAGCCGCCCCTGCTCCCCACACCTCTGCCTCCGCACAACAGAAAAGGCGGCACCCCTCCCAGGGAGACACCAACACTCAGGGAGGCCTTCAGCTACTGGAAAGGTGGGAGGCGGGAGTCACCCTGTGCATTTCGTCTCCAAAACCTAATCTACTTTTCTGTTTCCATTTCCAGTCGGTTCGATTCCCAGTCAGGGCCCACCCCCGGGTTGCAGGCTCAATCCCCAGTGCAAGAGGCAGCCCATCAATGTTTCTCTCTCATTGATGTTTCTATCTCTCTATCCCTCTCCCTTCCTCTCTCTAAACATCAGTAAAAACATTAACAAAAACAACAAAAAACGAATGACCTCAGAGGGTGACAGGCCTAAATGAAAACTTTACATGAAACGCCGGCCTACAACACAGCCCTCCCGACGGCGCCTCATGACGATAAGGACGACGGCCTTTCGGTCCTGCTGAGTTCTGGAGCCATACAGGCCCCAGTGGCCCAAGCCCAGGCGAACCGCCCTCACCCACGGAGCCGAGGCTGCTGGCCCGGCCAGGCCTGCTTCCCAAGGGGCCAGTCAACGGAGCCGTGACCCAAAGCTGGGAGGAGGGAGGAGGGGGTCGGGGAAGAAGAGAGAAAGAGGAGGAGGGGCAAGGCTGGGCCCAGGTCACGTGCGGCCGGAGGACGCTCACCTGGGAAGTACTTGCGCCACTTCTCCACCAGGAAGTCGTCCATGGCCTGAGTGGCGGAGGAGGAGAGCCTGGGGCCCAGCCCCGGGTCCCAGGCCCACTGGGTGGGGGCCCTCCGGAGGGAGGGGGGCGGGGTCGGGGCCGGGGTGGAAGTGAGGAGCTGGGGCGGCTGGGTGCCCAGGACGCCCAGCAGGCTGAGGACCTGGTGCAGCTGGCTGCTGATGTGCCGCAGGGAGCTGTCCAAGCACCGGATCTTGTCGGGGAAGGCGGGGCTGGCCGGGCTGCCTGGAAGGGAAGAGGCGGGTGGTGAGGGACCAGACCCCGGGCCCTGTGGCGCGGTGGAGGGCAGGGCCTCGGTTCCCGGCAGAGCAGCCAGCCAGAGCGCAGAGGCTGGTCAGGGACTGCGCACTCGGAAGGCTCCCAGGCGTGCAGCCTGTGGGCGGGAAAGCCCGAGCGGCTCCTTCTCGCCAAGCACCCACTGAGGACCCGCTCAGACACGGCTCCCAGAGGCCACGCAGAGCGGAGGAGGGGCTGCCGTTTCCCTCTCCACAGAAACCGGTCCGTCCCAGCTGCCCGCCCTGTCCTCCCTGCGGCCACCACTCACCATGAGGCAGGGGCCAGGACTCTGAGCTTCCACTGCTAGTGTCCTCCGTGTCGCTGAGGTCAAAGGTCACCACTTTCTTGGTGGGGGGCCCTCTCAGAGTGTCCTCATCTAGAGCCTTGGGTAGAAGCAGCAGTTCTTGCTGGCCCTCGCCCTGCGCCTTTGCCCACTGGCTTTGTGCTGGAGAGGAGCCCTTCACCCCTTCATGTACGGGCTCTCTGGGGCCAGGGTTCTGGGAGGGGCACATCCTGTGGGCTGCCTCGCGGGGTGGGGGTGGGGGGCGGGGGCGGGGAGCGGCTCACAGAACTCACCCACCCGAGACGCGGGCAGGCAGGCCACCAGGACCAGGCTGGTGCCCACCCTTTCTCTCCCCAGTAAACTCGCCCTGCAGGCTCTCCACCCCCGCCTGGCATCCGGGGAAAGGCTGCTCCCAGAACACCTGTCCTCGGTTCCACGGCCGGGAAGGGCCAGGGCCAGATCCTCCCCCGAGAAGCTCCGGGCCTCTCAGAACCACGCAGCACAAACTACCCAACGCAGAGCTAAGCCATGCCGTCCCCCCGCCCGGGGGCCTCAACAGGGCCCAACACCCACCCGCATCCGGGCTGCGTGGCCAGGGCTCACCTCGTCCCGCAGAGAGGCCTCCAGCTCACTCAGCTTCTCCTCCTTCCTCTGCAGCAGGTCGTGGCCTCTCCGCATGGCAGACTGCATCTCGCCCAGCTGCCTGGCCTCCTGCCGTCACGGGAGGGGAGGGGCCTGTGTGACCCACAGACGCTGGGGCCCAGCCTCGCCCTCTGTTCGCTGGGTTATCGTGAAAACTTCACTTGACTCTCAGTCTAGGTGCTCATCTAGGAGAACTGCTACTTTTCATGGGCCCTGAGAACTAACTGAGATGCAGTATGTTACAAGGGAGGTGCTGGATGTGAAATTCAGGGCAGCTTACTGCACTCCTCACCTAGAAAACGGAGTAACACTGGCCCCTGGCACATCACCTGCGGTTCCTGGGAGGCCATGCGGTTTCTATCAGAGCATCCTGCCCACGGTGCCCAGCCTCGCGAGCCTAAGGTGAGTCTTTTCATCCTCGAGGAGCCACAGGATCTCCATCCCCGGCCCACTGCCCGACAAGCCGTGTGCCCAGAGCCCAGGGCTGTGCATCCGCCCTCATGGGGGTCCCCAGAATGAGCAGTGGCGGGCGCAGCCCCGGCTCCCCAGCCTCCCTCCCCGGGGCCCAGGCTCTCCTCCAGGCTCTGACCTCCTCCAGGCCCTTGCGCACGTCATCGCCCAGGGCCTTAGTGCCCAGCAGGTCCTCGGGCGCATCCGGGGCGGTGCCCAGCTCGTGGCCCCAGTGCTGCTGGGCGGCTTTCAGGGCTGCCTGCCGCCTGCGCATGGAGCGCGTCTGCCGCACCAGGAAGGCCTTGGCACTGCGGAGAGCCACGCCCTCGGCAGAGAGGTAGTGCCGGAAGCTGATGGGGACAGGTGGGGCGGGGGGTGGGGGGTGGTGAGAGAGCCTACAAAGACTCCAGAGCCCTGCTCTGGGTCACTCCAGCTCCTGGCAGACGCCCATCCTGAACAGACTGGGGGTGGGGCGGGGCTGCCGAGAAAAGGAACCCAGCCACTGGAGACCACACAGGGCGTCTGGCACTGTCCTCCAGATAGAGGCCAGGCACTCCCGTCAGCCTGACTCTCGCCCAGGCATCCGCAGATGCCAGCCTGCCCAGTCACAGTGGGCACCGACTTCCCTGAGCCACGCCCACGGGTGACTGCCGTGATCTCGCTTCCCCCGGCCCAACCCCAAATAGGACAGGCCACCGACGCACCTGTCCAAGGATGAGTCGGCGACCTCCGGGCTCTGCGAGACAGAAGGGGGTGCCTCTTTGGTCTGCTTCTGAGGACACAGGAAAACCCACTGACCCAGGCCAGCAGGTGCACTCAAGCTCCAGGCCTGAAACCCTCCCAGAGCCGACGCCCCGGCCCTGCTGGAGGCCGGGCACTGTTCACCCGAGACCCTCGGACTATGGAAGTGGGGGGCCAGGAACAGTAAGAACAGGAGCTGGAGGCCCAATACAGAGCAGAGCCCCGCCCCTCCTGGAGCCCCGCCCAGCCATCCTGTCCCTGCCAAGGCCAGAGAAGCTCACGGTGCCAGGGGGTGTCTTCAGGTCCTCGACGTGGAGGTCTGGCTCACAACAGGGGGAAGCACTGCTCGCCTCGACCGCCAGCCCTTTCAGCACCTCCTGCTTCCTCTGAGCTTCAGCCTCCAGGTCACTGCGGGTGGGGGTGCAGGAGGTGAGCAGGCTCCCGTGAGCACCCTGTCGGGACCCCTGGTGGGCTTGGAGCCTCACCCGAGGTAGAAAATAAGACCATCTCCATCGCTTCACTTCCGGCCAAGCCCTGCCCCAGCTGCTCCCGCCTCCTCACACCCCCATCCCTACCACAGGCAGCAGAGCCTGGCTCCAGCCCTGCCTGGGACGGGCCGAGCAGCGGAGGTCAGAGGGCACGCCACCTGATGCATTTCTGCAGCCCCTTGGCCTGGGCCTGCAGCTGGTCCACCTGGGCTTCCAGCTCCAGCTTCTGGGCCCGCAGCTCGCCCAGACTTCTTCGGAGCTGCCGGTTGGACTCGAGCAGGTGCATGTGCTCCTGCTTTGCCTCTTCCAGGTGTTGATGGGTGGCTGTGACTTCCTGGGCAGAGGAAAGACAGAAGCGCCTGGAGAAAGAGTGGGAGAAGGCAGGGAACCGGGAAGCCCCAGGTGGGGCCCACACACCAAGGTCACGGGTCCTCCCCCTCCCGCCCGCCCCCCACTCCCTGGCATCCTGTGCTGGCTCCCCCACAGGTACTGCTGGTGGAATAGCCCCAGGCCTGCAGGCAGAGACCAAGGGAGCAAGCGGGGAAGAGAGAGGCGGGAGACAGGGAGGCCAGGTGAGCAGACCAGGCTCGCTCTCCAGCGCCACCTGCTGCTTCAGGCCGACAGCGCCTCTCCTTGGGGCAGCCTCCTCCTGAGGGAGGGGACCAGCCTGGCCACCACCAGGCCCCAGGGAGCAGGGGCAGAAAGGCCCATCCTCTCTTGGGGAACCATGTCTCCAAGATCAAGGGCACCTGGGGACCCTCCACCCCACTCCCTCACCTGAACGTCCAGCTGAGCCAACCTGGCCTTGACCTCTTTGGCTCTGGTTTCCAGCTCCACCTCTAAATCTTGGAGTTTCCTTTCCTGCACAGAGCAAAGTCGGAGGAAAAAATGTATGTGTAGAAACGGTGTGAGGCATTAGGTGAGGGTCCTGACCCCCAGGCCATGGCACACCCCTGATAGGCTCCCGCCCCCTCCCATGAGCTCCTGTGGCCTCCCAGGAAAGCACCACCCCTTGTTTATGCCCAGGGTGGGCAAGGAGCATCAGAGGTGCCAACCCCAAGGTCCTGGAGGGGCTGACCCCCTTGGCCCAGAAAACAAAGGAGCACTGATGTCCCAGACTGGGGTCGGCCAGCGAGACCCCCTCCCGCAGCTGCTGGCCTGCTGCCCCCACTGTTCCAGCCCACCTGCTCCCGGTGCCGGAGCCCCAGGCCCTCCAGCTGCCTGGCCTGCTCCTGCCTCGCGGCCTCCAGCTCCCGCTCGTGGGTCCTGCGCAGGCGCTCCAGCTCCCCAGTCAGGTGCCCCAGCAACGTGGCCCGCTGTGTCCGCTCCTGCACAAAGGGGGCCGCCAGTAGGAAACCGCAGTCCCCACCCCTGCCGCCTCAGGTCAGTAAGGTCAAGGACCCGGCCAGTGCCCCAAGGCCAGCCCTTAGGACAGCAGGGTCCCCCCAGAGAGCACAGGCTGGGCAGTGTGGTGAGGAAATGCCCTGGGGAGCCTCCTACTGCTGTTGCCTCCCTCAGGGAAGAGGCCATTAATAGTTCCCTCTTCCTCGCAGGTCAGGACTGGTTTGGGAAGGAAGTCAGATCCCTCATGACCCGCTGGTTCTGCCAGGAAAGACGGCACAGAGAGTCTGGGATCTGGGGTCCCTGGAGCTGCAGCCTAGAAGTCCGGGCAGAGGCCCAGCCGCAGGCCAAAGTCAGCCACGGCCACTGCTCACCCGACAGTAGCAGGCCAAGCCAAGGGCGGCAGCTTAGGTAACACCTTTCCTACCCAGGCCGAGGCTGGAGATGGGCAGGTGAGGTTTGCCTACTGTTTGGCTCCTGCCAGGCTATTTCCTGGTGTCCTGGGTTCCTATGAACCCTGGGGGCGGGGTTAGGGTGGCCAAGGCTGAGGCTTTGGGATCGGACCATCTAGGCTTGGACCCTAGCTCCTGCCTGTCAGCCACGGGTCGGGGCAAGTAGCCTGCGCTCCCCAACTCTCAGTGTCCTCACTTTTAAAATGGAGGTGATGCCCTAACTGGTTTGGCTCAGTGGATAGAGCGTCAGCCTGCGGACTCAAGGGTCCCAGGTTCGATTCCAGTCAGGGGCATGTACCTTGGTTGCGGGCACATCCCCAGTGGGAGGTGTGCAGGAGGCAGCTGATCGGTGTTTCTCTCTCATCGATGTTTCTGACTCTCTATCCCTCTCCCTTCCTCTCTGTAAAATATCAATAAAATATAAATTAAAAAAATGGAAGTGATGACAGGACACACCCCCAGGTGCTGTGAGGACTCAATGAGCTCATCTAGACCAAGCGCTGAGAACAGGGCCTGGCATGCGGCCCACGCTCAATGCCAGTGTCGTCACCACGAAGGCCAGTGCAGCCTGCCCGACGGAGGGTCCTCCTCATCCGATGGCTGAGGCACACTGTGACTGGGCCAGGACAGGGCCAGGGAAGAGAGCCTCCCACAGAAACTCCCCCGCCTCCCCTCCCCCTCCCCCGCCTCCAGCCCGCCCGCCAGGGCCCAGGCTGTGCCACATGTGCCACGGGGGAGGGCCGTCACCTCGGCTTCATACTGCTCCCTGGCCTCCGCCACCGCTTGCCGGTGCTCCTCCTTCATCTTGTCCATCCTCCCCTCGTGTTCCCGTTCCACCTCCCGGCGCTTCTCTCTCAGGAGCCCACTGAGCTGCAGGGCAGGCGGCAGGATACAACGGGGGACTGAGCGGGCAGCACGCGGGACTGAGCGGGCTGGCACGCGGGACTGAGCATTCGGCCTCACACGGCACCCCCCGAAGGCTCCCCACGCACCCAGGTGCACGACGCGTGATGGCCACACTCCCCACTGCCTCCCACATACAGGGCATGGCGTGGAGAAGCACTGCCGCGAGGGAACTGGGCTGTGAAACGGGAGCGGAAGTGCCAAAGTGAGAGGACCCTCTGGGCCAGGGTGGCTCCGTGGTCAGAGCACCACGACAGTACCCGAGCCGGGAGCAGCGCAGCACTCACCTCCTGCTCGTACTCCAGCAGCTGGCGAGCTCTCCGCTCCACCCACCCCAGGCTCTCCTGCTGCTGGGCCTCCTCTTTCTGCTGGGCTTCCCCTCCCTCCTTCTGGAGGCTGGAGACCACCTAGGAGGGCCACGGGGGTGAGGTAGAGAGCACGAGAGTGGCCGGGGACCCACTTCCCAGGACCCGAGGCCCCTCCCGCAGGCTGCAGGGGGAGAGGCTGCCTCCCCTCGTGTGGCAGGGAAGGGTGGAGCGTACGCTCAGGGCCACAGCCCAGGCTCTACCCACAGGCCAAGCCCGGCACCTACCTCTCTGTGCTTGGCCTCCAGGGAGAACAGGAGCCGCGCCAGCTCAGCCCTGTGCTCTGTCTCCAGCGCTGCTGTCGCCTGGGGAGCAACAAAGGGCCAGTGAGGGATGCTGGGCAGAGAAGGCTGCTGGGCAGAGAAGGCTGCTGGGCAGCGACCCAGACCAAGGAGGAGCCAGGAACACCAGCCCCAACGTGCCGCGAGCTCAGGGGCTGAGGGAGCCTCTGGCACAAATTCCTTCTCCCGATACAGCTCAGCCCCTGAAGCCTGCAACCAGCCGACAGACAGGCATGTGGGCAGTGTGGAGGGCACGGAGGTGGCCCCGGCCACTGCTGCCACCCTGCCTCTGGGCGCTGGGGACACTCCCGCTGGTGAACACGGCCAGGCGGGGAGGCTGCAGGCTTCGGCCCACGCCCGCCTGCTGGTCTCCTGGTCTCAGCGAGTCTCCATCTCTCACCAAAAGGAAAGAGAAGCCCCTCGCCTGGCTGTTACTCACTTCAGCCTCTCACCTGGGGACAGACCCTCACACCAGAGGGGCAGGGAGGAAGAGCGAAGGACAACTTCCTGAGTGCGCTACCGCTCAGCGAAGGCAGGAGAAAGGGGAGGGTGGAAGGTCATCGCACGTCCCCAGAGACAAGGACAGGGATGAGGCACAGGCGTCTCAGGACCTCTGCTCCGGTCGAAGTTCTTTCGGTCATGAAATCTCCCCAAACCCACAGCCATCTCCCCCAAACTTCCTCCAGCCGTGGCAGCACCCAGGCGCCAGGCCCAGCAGCCTCCGGGAGCCTCTGCGACCGCTCCCTGCAGGGACCGGACCCAGCTCCTGCCCGCAGCCAGCTGGGTCACGTGAGCAGTGGGCCCAGGGTCTGCGCCCCGTCTGTGCAGACCCCACTCTCCGCCCGGCGCCCACCTGCACGCCCAAGGCTCGCTCTCTCTCCGCACTCGGTCCCTCCCCAGGCAGCCCAGGCCGTGTGGTGCCGTGTCAGAGAGGAAGGTCCCACTCTACTTGCTCACCTCTTTCCTCTCCCCTTCCAGCTGCTCCCTCCGCTGCTGCCGGGCCTTCTCCTTCTCGGCATTCAGGGCAGCCTGCTCTCTCCTCTCCGAAGCCTCCATCTCTCCCCGGAGCCGCTCCAGCACACGCTGGCTGCCCTGCTCCAAGCTGGCCCTCTCGGCCTCCTGCAGGGCCGCCAGCTCCTCTCTCAGCCTCTGCAGGGAAGCCTGGTGCTCGGCCCTGGGCAGACGGAAGGGTGAGGAAGGAGCTGAGCCCTCGGGGCGGCCCCAGGGGCTGGGCAGCTCGCATGGGCACTCACCTGATTCGGTCCGCATCTGCCTCTGCGCTGGACTGGACCTGGGCCCGGAGCCGGGCCAGCCTCCGGCTCTCCTCCTCTCTCAGCTGAGTCCCCTCCTCCTCAGTGGCCTTCTGCAGCTGCTCCTGCAGGAGCCTGGGGAGGAAAGGCAAGGCCAGTCTGCTGAGGGCCACCCTATTCCAGCCGTATCCCCGGCTCTCGGCCCATAGGCCTGTGGCCTGCTGGGAAGTTTCTGGAATCTTACAGGGGCGCTGACCCCAGCCTCTGGTCCTGCTGCCTCCCTGCACCTCCCACGGGAGGGGACCGTGAACTCTCCTCCCCTTTCTTCAGCAAGTGGATTACAGGCCGCCTGATCCCAGACCAGCGTTCCTCCCCAGGCTCCCTCTGCCTCAGGTTCGCCCCGTCCGACCCCAGCCTGACCCTGGTCCACATCTTTCTCTCTCCACCCATAGGTTCTGCTCCAGCCACTTCCGATGAGCCACTCTGACCCCACCACTCTCCTGGCCTCTGGGCCTTGCTCCTGCCGGTTCCTCTGCGAGAATCCCCTTCTGCCTGCCCATCCGTGTTCATCCCTCTCAGAAGAGCCTTTCTGACACCGCCCCCAGGCCCCCAGCCCTCCCCGCCCCGCCCCAAGCCCAGCAGGCTCCCCTGGCCCCCAGGCCGCCCCCGCCCCCCAGGCCCCCAGGCCAGGGCCAGGAGCTGCGCCCAGGGAGTCCAAGCCCGAGGAAAACATGTCTCCGGAGACAGCGTCTTTGAGAAGCTTCAGTAATGAGTTCCTAAGCCAGAGAAGAGTTAGGCTCACTTTCTGTTCAGGTTGTCAGCTCACGGCTCTCCTCCAGAGGACAGAGCGTGCGTCAGTGAAAACCCTGCCCTGGCCTGTGGTGACCGCTGTGCACGGCTGCACAGAACCATGGAACGGGAGGGGTCCGGAGGTGCGGTCCTTCCTGCCACACTCAGCTCGGCCTCCTCACCGTACAACCGCCCACCCCTCCTGCCTGCTCACCCGGGGGGCACTGTGCCCCCGACAGGCACAGGCGGAAGCGCAGCAAGGGAGTCAGTCACTATACTGCCGGTCTGTGTACAGCGCCCGCGGGGCCTGGAAATATCAGGGGGAACACGCTGCAAAGCATTCGATTGTCTAACCACGACGCTGTACACCCGATATTAATACAAAATGCGACTGAATGTAAACTGTAATTAAAAATTACTTTAAATTTAAAAAAAAGAGAAAGGAATATTTGCTCTAAGGCAGGGGTCCTCAAACTTTTTAAACAGGGGGCCAGCTCACTGTCCCTCAGACCGTTGGAGGGCCGGACTATAGTTTAAAAAAAAACTATGAACAAATTCCTATGCACACTGCACATATCTTATTTTGAAGTAAAAAAACAAAACGGGAACAAATACAATATTTGTATTTGCATGTGGCCCGCGGGCCGTAGTTTGAGGACCCCTGCTCTAAGGTCAGTGTGGCTTCCAGAAATTTCTACCAAGTGGAAGTTTCCCAGAGAGAGAGCCCCTCAGGAAGGCCCCGTGTACACAGAAGCAGGGTCCTCGTGATGAACTATTTCAAAGGGAGCCAGCAAGGTGCTGCCCACAGATCTCACGCTGTCAAGACCGCCGAAACCGGACTGATCTCACCGGAAATAAAACGAGAGCTCGCCTTTACTGAGCGGCCACGGAGCGCAGGCCGCGGCAGGCTCTGGGGCCTCTAGTCTTCACCACTACCTGATGGAAGGCACAGTCCACTGAGCTCAGGGAGGGGCAGGAGAGGAGGGGCCGGGGGGCGGGCAGGGACGCAGCGCCCGCCTGCTCTTCTTGGCACAGCCTCTCCAGGAGAGCTGAGCCCCGCTGTTGGGCTCCGTTCCCAGTTGGGTGGAAGAGGAGGATGCTCTGAGGTCTGTTCCGTGGGGCTCCCTGGCAGGGGACCCAGGGGCGGGTGTAAGGATGGGCCCTGGGTCAGTGGATCCGGCGTTGGCTAATGAGAGACGGTCCCCACCCTCCGGACAGTCAGGGGCTGGTTTTCCTAACTTCTCTAAATAAAGCATGACCGTTCTTTATACACACTGCTATCTCTGATAAAAAAAATAAGCCTCTACCACTTTGGATGTTCCGTCCAGAGGGTAAGATTTCGTTAAACTGCCAAGTACGTGAACTATATTAACATCCCTCTATTGCACTTCTCCCATCCTGGGACGGTGACAGACTGCTACCACCTCCCCAGCAGGCATTCTCCCACTTTCCTTACTAACAGGACCCTCGTTTTATTCTCTCGGGTAAAGAGGCCCAGCTAAAGGACTACATTTCCCAGTCTCCTTTGCAACCAGGGGTAACCCATGAGATTTAGGTGGGAATTATTGGGTAAGGTTTCCAGGAAAACTCCATTAATGGGACTGAAGGAACTAGAAGGTACCCTCTTTACACTCTCCCCTGTCCTTCCTGCCTGGAGCACAGGCGCGATGGCTGGAGAGCCAGCAGCTATGCTGGCCTGAGAAGAGACCCTGAGAGTAAAACCAGCACTAAAGCGGGAGAGATGAAAGAAGACAGGGACCCGGGACTCCCCTGTGCCAGCCCAGGGCTGCCTTTTCTTACAAAAATCAACCTCTAGCTTGTTTATACATATACAGTCAGACCTCGTTTCTCAAACGTCTCCCATCTCCAACACTTCAGTTCTCGATCAACTTGTTCACAGACAAAAAATATCTCGGTTGTCGACCAAAATTTCAGTTTTCGACCTGACAACCCTTTCATGCTGATACCTCTGCATGACGACATGCAAAGGAGAGAATGCTTTTGTGGCTGGCCGATTAGCACAATTTTAAAACACAAAGAGGCCATCAAGAGTGCTAATGTTGCCTGGCCAGCATGGCTCAGTGGTTAAGCTTTGACCGATGAGCCAGAAGGTCATAGCTCAATTCCAGTCAAGGCACATGCCCGGGTTGTGGACTCGATTCCTAGTGTGGAGTGTGCAGGAGGCAGCCGATCAATGATTCTCTCCATCACTGATGTTTCTATCTATCTTGCCCTAGCCCTTCTTCTCTGAAATCAATAAAAATACTTTTTTAAAAAAGAGCACTAATATTGCTAAGGGCGTGAAAGTGCTCACAAAACAGCAATCACAGGCAATTGAAGAGGTAGAAAAGCTGTTGTTTGATTTGGATTAAAGCGGAGAGCCTGTGTGATAGCATTTCGGAGGCAGTGACAGATGAAAAATTCCTTTAAGGCTAGTAGGGGGTTCGATGAATTTAAGAAGTGTTTATAGATTAAACAGTACATTAGACATGTACTATGTGTAAGAAAGGTGGAAACGGAATCATTTGGGGGTCTGGAACAGATTACTTCCATTTACATTATTTCTAATGGGAAAAAAGGATTCCATTTTTGAACAAAGTAGTTCTCAAACAGCCTTTTGGAACGAGGTTCCACTGTACACACATACAATCACACACATGCACGCCTGGCCAGGCTTAAGGGTCTTATTTGCCTAGGGCAGTGATGGCGAACCTTTTGAGCTGGGCATGTCAGCATTTTGAAAAACCCTAACTTAACTCTGGTGCCATGTCACATATAGAAATGTTTTGATATTTGCAACCATAGTAAAACAAAGATTTATATTTTTGATATTTATTTTATGTATTTAAATGTCATTTAACAAAGAAAAATCAACCAAAAAAATGAGTTCATGTGTCACCTCTGACACACGTGTCATAGGTTCGCCATCACTGGTCTATGGCCTCCCAGCCAGCTATGCAAAGAGCAGGAACCCAAACAGAAGCTTGTGAGTCCTGGGCAAGAGCTCCTCCCACTGCAGCACCAGGCCCCACCAAAGCCATGGTCCCGGCAGGGCCCGACTCCCAAGGAAGAGGACCTGCAGGAGCTAAGACAATGGGCTTCAGAGATAAGCCTCTGGCTAAGAGGCTCTGCTGCATCTCAGCTTCCAGACCTGGGATGGGACTTCACCTACTGGTGCCTCAATCTGTCTACATTACACGTTCTATAAAATGGGGTTGATAACACCACCTCGTAAGAGCCTTTCAGAAGACTAACAAAGTCATAGATATAAAGCACATGGAGCCCGGCCAGCATGGTTCAGTGGTTGACCATCAACCTATGAACCAGGAGGTCACGGTTCGATTCCTGGTCAGGGCACATGCCTAGGTTGTGGGCTCCATTCCCAGTGCAGGGCCTGCAGGAGGCAGCCAATCAATGATTCTCCCTCATTGATGTTTCTCTCTCTCTCCCCCTCTTCCTTCCTCTCTGAAATCAATAAAATATCCTATATAATAAAGAGGTAATATACAAATTGACCATCACGGTCTTACACAAGATGGCCGCCACAAGATAGCCGGCAGGGGAGGGCAGTTGGGGGCGACCAGGCCTGCAGGGGAGGGAGGGAAGTTGGGGGCAATCGGGCCAGCAGGGGAGCAGTTAGGCATCGATCAGGCTGGCAGGAGAGTGGTTAGGGGGTGATCAGGCAGGTGAGCGGTTGGGAGCCAGCAGTCCCAGATTGTGAGAGGGGTCCCAGATTGGAGAGGGTGCAGGCTAGGCTGAGGGACAACCCCCCCCCACCCCAGTTCACAAATTTTGTGCACCAGGCCTCTAGTATACATATATTAAAAAATAAAATAAAAATAAAGCACATGGATCAGTGCAGTCTCTCAAAAGACACCAGCTACTCCCATCACGATCACACCTCCCAACTCCCCACCAAAGACAGAGGTGTCAGGCACCCTGGCTCGGGAGCCCATTCCTCCACACAGGCCGGCGAGGAGGATCCTAGAGAGGCCGCGGGCCCCCAGTGGCCCCCAAGAGGGAGGCGTGGGTCCCTCCCCACAAGTCCTGGAGGCCCTGCAGCTTGTCTGGGAGGGGGGCGGGCCGCACCTCAGAGACTCCTCTTTCCGCTGTCGAAGCTGAAGCGCCTCCTCCTCCTCCTCCTGCCGCAGCCTCTGCCGCAGCTGCTGCACCTTTTCCCGCTTCAGTTCCAGGAGCCGCCTCTGCTCTTGCTCCAGTTCCTGAGCCACCGCCTCCTCCATGGCCTTCCGGGTGGCCTCTGGGAGCTGCTCTGGGAGAGCCACGAGCTCTGGAGATCGCCTACCAAGGGGAGGGAACAGCAGTTCACAAGTGTTAACACCACCGCCTTTCGGCTCCAGGTTTATAGAGCGACGGGTCCTCACAGACCCTAATGGAGGGCCCTCCACCAGGAATCACACACCAACTCAGGTCCCCAAGCGGGCAGAAGGGTACGCCCTCAGAGATGCAGGCAGCATCTGTTCTACGAGACAAGCCCCCTGTGGCTGCTAAGGCCGCGTGAGCCCAGGGAGAAGGGCAGCCCACAGCAGGTCCTGCGGACCCGGGCCCAAGGCGGAGACGAGGCTCCCAAGCTGGCGGCAGAGGAGAAACTGAAGCGCTGGCCCTGACGACTCCTCCCACACGGCTCAAGCCCGCTCAGTCCCTCCACTAGGGCTGGGCCTGCTGCTCGAAGCTCCTGCCATCAGTTTGAAGTCCCCAGAGGCTGCTCTTTGCCTCCCAAACTGCACAGAGGCCAGTGCATAGGAGCCAGGGGGACGCAGCAGCATCCTTCCCAGCCGAGACCTAGAACAGTCCACAGAGGCCCAGGGACAGGAAACCCGGCCCCCACACTGCCCAGTGAGCCAGGCAGGGGACCACCCCTGAGCCAGAGAGAGAAGCAGGAGCACAAGAGACGCCAGGTTCCCGATCTCCGCACCAAGGAATCAATGTTTAAAAGTAGATCAAAAAGTCCTACTGGTGTGCTCAGTGGTTAGTGTCAGTCCACACACCAAAAGGGTCTTGGGTTCGATTACAGTCTAGGACAGTGATGGCGAACCTATGACACGCGTGTCAGAGGTGACACGTGAACTCATTTTTTTGGTTGATTTTTCTTTGTTAAATGGCATTTAAATATAGAAAATAAATATCAAAAATATAAATCTTTGTTTTACTGTGGTTGCAAATATCAAAAAATTTCAATATGTGACACGGCACCAAAGTTAAGTTAGGGTTTTTCAAAATGCTGACACGCCGAGCTCAAAAGGTTCGCCATCACTGGTCTAGGGCATGTACCTCGGTTGCAGGCTCAATCCCTGGCCCTGGTTGGGGCTCATGCAGGAAGCAACCAATCAATGTGTCTCTCACATCGATGTTTCTCTCTCTGCCCCTTCCTTCCACTCTCTCTCTAAAAAAAAAAAAATCAATGCAAAAAATATCCTCAGGTGAGGAGTAACAACAAAAAGGGGGGAAAGAAATTCAGGGCTAACCCAGATGCATAAGGTGGGTGGTAAGGTAAGGACAAAGGGTATCAGTTACAAAGATGTCTATAGAATAACAAGGTTGTTTGTTGCTTGTACACTGGTTCTGAAAGAAATGCCCAAAAAGAAACCCCAAGGACATTTAGAACAATGAAAGCATAAGCAAGATAAAGTGTTTCGCCCCCCAGAGCGGTTTTCCTAAAAGCTAGAACGCATTTGCATTCCCAGGTCCTAAATCTTACGTTAGAAATTGCTCTTACCACCCGACCACCACCTCCTCCCAGTGCTCAGGCCTAGCAGGGGAACCCCCATCAACCTCAGCAGCATGTGGCTAGATCCAATCCCAGGAGCAGGGAGCCAGCCCTGGCTGGGGTCACAGAACCCCCTCCTCCCTCCAGCTCTAGCCCTGTAGCAGATGGAGGGCGGCCGCAGGCTTGGCTAGAATGGCAGGTGACAACAGGCCTTTGGAACAATTCCCTCTCGGCCCCTTGAGACCACAGAGAGAAGGAAGGCATGACATCTCTGAAATACCATTAAAATCTTTCCTTCCTCCATTCCTAAAATTATAACTCAGGCCAGAAACGGTCCTGAGCTATGTCTTTAATTCTCTGCTGCTGCCAGCTCCACCTCCCCTCCTCCCAACACCCAGCTTCCTCCCAGGCCCCACACAGCCCAGCAGATGCAGATGTAAGCGATGCGGCTGCCACCCCCTAGAGGATCCTGCCCTTGAAAGAGCCTCCCCCAGCTCTCCGCCTCATCAACCCTCCAACTCATTTCCAGCCTCTGCTGCAAATGCTTTTCTCCCTGAGATGGCTCCTTTACTGCATCTCCCTGTGGGCTGTGTAGCCATGTGGAACCCCAGGGACAGATGCTGCGGGAAGATGAGGCGTCCGCAGCACGGCAGCCTGAGAGCAGCTGCACGCACACCAGCCTACTTCTTAGTGCGCCCCTTCTCCGTGTCCCTGCTCTAAAGATCTACCGTCCTAAGCCCCCCTCAGGTCCAAGGCAGGCAACACTGGCCCACAAGGCAGACCCCCGCGGCCACTGGGGGTGAAGCCTGCAGAGGGAGAGGCAGGTCTGCTTTCTAGGCCGCCCCCGGGCGCCAGCCCCAGTGGGTCCCTGAAGCAGTCATGGCAGGCCTGGCAGGCCGGAGTGAAGGAGAGGAGGAGGGAGGGTGGCAGGAAGAGGCGAAGGGAGACACGCCCCGGACCCTCTGGCACACCGTGCACCACTGACACTGGGTTGCAACCAGAGACACCTGTGTCCCCACACGCCACCCTGTGGTTCACCTCATAGAAGATGTGGGCGTGGCAAAGGGAAGAATGTCCCTGACTCCCAGACTCGGGCCTCTGGGATGACGCGTGCATGGCGGCGCTGGGCTGCCCTTTGCTCCTAACCCCTCTGACACATCGTGACATCTATGAAAGGTGCAGGCTCTGTGACTCATGGTCCCTCACCCTCTGTGTTGATGATGCTTTGACATTCTTAAAAAGCTTGCTGGTCAACGAGAGGCTGCCCCTCCCAGGACTAGCCAATTCTCACAGATAGTCCTGCGCCTATACCCCAGCCCCTCCTGATCGCACACCACGGGGGTATTTCCCTACCCTACATCACCCAGAGACCACCCCACACCCCCAAGTGCACAACATTATTCAAATCATCCAGTCCCACACTTCAAGTACCTACCCTGCCTCATCCATTCCTTCCCGCGAAAACCCCAATAGAGGTTCTGGACCATGCCCTCCCTTCTCACCTCTCCTGCCTCCTGACCAGCCCTGGTCCTTCCCCCGTGACCCTGGTGGCGTGGCATGCCCACTTCTCCGGAAATGTTAGTAACATATTCCTCTTTCGGAGCCATTGGCCTCTCCACGATGCCAGTCACCTCCGTGTATTAAAATTCCACAGGTTCGAATGAGGCACAGAGCTGCTCCCCACAAAACCAGGAAAATCACCCCATTCCTAACACGGCTGTGAGGAGTAATGACAAGGGAGTGCGGGGCCTGGGAAGACTCAGAGGACAGAAGGTGTGTCCCACGGGCCTGTGTGCACTGCTCAGGGCGTTCCCCGGGCCCCAGCAGGGCAGCATCGCTGGGACGGGGAGAAACGCAAGGTGCCCTGGCTGCCCTCACTGCCCAGCCTCTCTCCCAGAGGTGCTGGGGACCACCTCTGACCTCTGACCTCTGCCCAGGGCCCCTTCTCTGAACCAGTCGCTCCTGTCCTCATAGAAAGCACCATGACCTGGGTGTCCACAGCCACCGAGGAGGCTGGGGAGCGCGTCACCCCTCGGGACAGAGCTGTTGCTGCCGGCTGGTCAGCACCTGAGAACAGGCCCCTCAGGACATCCCCCTGCAGCTCGGGGAGGACGCGAGCTCGGGGCCCCCGGGGCACTGTCAGCAAGCCATCGCGGTGGGCAGACAGGCGGGGGGGCAGATGGGCGGGTGGCAGATGGGCAATCTCCGCTCAGCAGACAGCCCCGGGCCCCAAGGGCGTGGATGCTTCCGAACCTCTCGGGCCACAGACAGGCACACCTGGGTGGCCCCGGCCCTGCCTGTCCTTGTCGAGAACAGCAGAGGCCCCACGAAGCCACATGTCCCAGGGACTAGAACAGCCGTGGGCAAACTACGGCCCGCAGGCCAGATCCGGCCCGTTTGAAATGAATAAAACTAAAAAAAAAAAAAAACCGTACCCTTTTATGTAATGATGTTTACTTTGAATTTATATTAGTTCACACAAACACTCCATCCATGCTTTTGTTCCGGCCCTCCCGTCCAGTTTAAGAACCCATTGTGGCCCTCGAGTCAAAAAGTTTGCCCACCCCTGGACTAGAGTCTAGTCCTAATTCTGCAAGCAACTAGGCATGTGCCCTTGGGCAAGCCCTTCACCTCCATGAGCCTCAGTTTCCCCATCTGTAAAGGGGGTGCGAGAAGGGAAGGTAAACTGGGCACAGAAACACTAAATGATGTCTAGTTGTGGTGAGCTTCAAACCCAGACACAAAGAGCCCTCTGTGTACCATCCAATCCACTACATGCAGGTGGGGCCTGGAACACCAGGTCTGCGGGCAGAAGCCAGGACGAGGTGGCCGGGGGGGGCATGCGGAAAGGCTCTTGGGGGACGGGATGCTCCCGTGGGATCCAGGGTGGGTCCGTGTGTACTCGTGTAAACATTCGTTGACTTATACAACTCGGATTTGTGTACTTCCATGTATATAAATAGCTCCAAAAGCTTCTGTCTGCGTTTTCTCACAGCAGGTATTTTTCTCCATTACAGAGGAAAGAGAAAATAATGGGGGTCGGGGGGATGGAGGGGGTCAATGGGGGAAAAGGGGGACATATGTGATACTTTCAACAATCTATCTATATAAACGCCCAAGTGACCATCGCAACCAAACAGATGACTGAACAGGCTGCGTGGGGCGACCAGGCCGGCAGGGGGGTTAGTGAGGGACGACCAAACGACTGAGCAGCAGGTTGCAAAGATGGCGGCGCCCGCCTGCCTCCGGAGTCCCCCAGTCCTCTCAGCCCCCCAGCCGCCCAGGGCCGCCCGAGGCTCAGGTAACCAGGGCCGGCCGAGGCTTGTGCTGCCAGCAGTAGCAGCAGCAGAGGTGTGATGGGGCGTCACCTTCCCCTGATCGCCCGGTCGCCTCCCGCCTCTGAGGGCTCCCAGACTGTGAGAGGGGGCAGGCCGGGCTGAGGGACCCCCTCCAGTGCATGAATTTTCATGCACCGGGCCTCTAGTAAAGAATAATTTAAAAATAAATTTAAAAAAATAAAAAGAGAAAATAGTGCTTGGTAAAGGGGAGAACATGACTTACCAGGTTTCTGCTAATGATTCAGGAGGTACCCCCTCACTTGCACCCTTGCTCCCCAGGTCCTGACAAGGGGAGCCCTGGGGACAGTGATGGCTCCTTGGGGTCTCAAGGCTGCTCACAGAACCAAGGGTACACTCCCTCCCCCCCTGCCCTACCCCACACCACCTCTGGGGGGATTAGAGCATCTTTCCCCACCACCCAAGAGTGCGTGGAAACAGCCCTGGCTGGTCTGGCTCAGTGGTTAGAGTGTCAGCCCGTGGACCAAAGGGTCCCAGGTTCCATTCCTGGTCAAGGGCACATACCTCGGTTGCGGGTTCGTCCTCAGGTGAGAATTTTAAAAAAAGAGTGGATGGGATCTAAAGCTACTCACACACGATGGAGGATAGGCCCAACCCACGAGAACTGGCCCTTACCCCTCCGGAGAGACAGGCAGGGTGGGGCTGGCCACCACCTTCTCCTTGGGCTCCTCGGGCTCCTCGGCCTGGGGGCACGGCGCCTCACCACTCTTGCAGGAGGCAGGTGGACTTGGGGTTTCATCCCTTGATAGCAATAAAGAAGCAAATGTGTTAAAGGCAGGAGGCTCCAGTGGCACCCCATTCGGGGTCAGAGAGCTGTGATGGGGACAGGGAGGCAGCCCCAACCGGTTCCCTTCCTCAGGTCTTAACTCTTCCTGCCCTCCCTGCCTCTTCCCGAGCCGTTTGCAATGAAAAGCAGATGCGCCCTCCCACGTGGGAGGCAGAATGCTTACTGGACCCAAGAAGTTCTGCCTGCAGCAGCTGCCCCATAGATGCTGGCAACCGAGCACGGATGCTGCTCAACTTCCCAAGGACTCACTGCGCCGGGTGAGCCCTGAGGCCAGCGTCTCCCCTGGCAGACAGCACCAGCGCCGGGGTCTGGACCTCGGCTGGCCGCAGGGAAGCCTGGGTAGGGCGCCTCCTCCGCCTGGCACACTACGGGGCCCCACAGGGGTGCTGCCCCACCAGAGGTGGGATGGGCACTGGCTGGGAGGGGCTGGTGGGCGGAGACTAGGAGAAAGGGCCCCTGGGCAGGCCCAGCACAGCTCCTAACAGGTAACAGCAGTCTCTGCCCAGCCCAGCTGGGGAGGCAGCTGGGCCAGAAGAGACCTGCCTCGTTCCGGAGTTCCGAAGCTCCCCTAATCAGACGAGGCACCCCAATTTCAGCTGCAGACTGACTCCTCAGAAGAGGCCAATCTCCTCACCATCCAGCTCCAGGGGGCCACTCGCTCCCCGAGCTCTCCAGGCCCCCAGCCCCCACACACAACTCCACCCAGGTGGGCCGCGCCCTCCCGGGAGGCACAGGCTCACTCTTACCTGTGAGGACACTTGGGCGGGAGGGGGCTGCGTGCAGAGTGCTCCGGGGGCTCCTGTGTCCCCCGCCGCTCAGACAGCCCAGCAGGGGCCTGCAGAGGCCCTTTCACAGTGGCCTGGCTGTGCCGGGAACTTCCAAGCCGCTCCCCGTACAGAAGTGAAGGGGACACCCTGGTCAGACCAGCCAGAGAGGAGAGTCAGGAGGAGACTGGGGTGCAGTGGGGACCTACGTCCACTCCTCCTTCCAGCTGGACCCCAGCCGGGGCCCTAGGTTCACGGAGTGGTGAGGGCGGAGGGCAGAGCAGTGTGAGAGCAGGAAGGGAGACACCCTGCTGAGGGCTCCCGTCCTGGACTGGACCCAGGGCCCTGCGCTGCATGTGCTGGCCCCGGAGCAGAGCAGCATGCACCCTTGGGGCGCAGAGGCCACATCGCTGGGCCAGGAGGGATGGAAGGACCCAGCAGGAAATGGGAAGGAAAGGGAAAGCCAGATTCAAGTGGTCGACTATCGGAAATGCTGAAGCTGTAGCTTCAAGGAAGAATTCTGATGATTTTCAAGGTCCAAAAGGTAGAATGACTGCCCTCCCCCTTCCAGGTGACAGCCTTTGCCTTATCAGGGCTCAAGGCTGGGAAGCTGGATGCCCGCCCCCCGCCCCCCCCCCCCCCACACACACACACAGCCACACCTGTTCTGCTGTGCAGGGCCCTGGTCCAGCTCTGAGCTGCAGAACTGACCCTCCCACATGACCCCCAGGGCTCCCGCGGCTACTCCAGAGCCGGCCACAACCAGACACACAGTTCAATCCCAGCAGTAACAAGTCGGAGCCCCAGCCCACAGTGGTGCCATGTGCAGCGTCAATCAGGCACCAGCAGCTCTTCACTCTCCTGTCTTGGTGTGGAATCACAGGTCTGCTCTCTCACCCACACTCACACACTCACACAAGCATAGACACTCACTCATTCCCTCTCTCTCTCTCTCTCTCTCTCTCTCTCTCACACACACACACACACTTTACCAGGCCATCCTGTCGGTTCCCATGCGCCTTCAGGCAGGAGCACCGGAGCCACGTGGACCAGCCAGGAGTTCTGCCCAGCACACATCCCCGAGTTCCCTGCGGCGGCCTCCCCCAGCCGTACCTCTCGGAGCCTTGGGACCGTTTGCTCTGCAGCTCATCGTGGCTGGACTGGCTGTTGTCCTGGTCTTCTCCTCCCAGCCTCTGGGCCTGCGGGCAGCAGTGGTGGAAAGTGCATATTGGAGGGTCTGATGTGGATCCCTCAACCCTCCCACTGACAGCCATGCTCGGAGGAAGCACTAAGAGTGGCTCTTCGGTGGGTGAGGACCCGCGGGATGCAGCAGAAGCGGCCTGTCTACTGTCCAGTCAAGGCCCCTGGGGCCCTGGCTAAGTCCCGGCTCCCAGTTGCTCCCAGGGCTGGCCGGGCTGGCTGGGGAGGGCGAGCCAGACACCACAGCCACTGCGCCAGAACCAGAAGCCAGGGCTGCAGGAAGACACACAGAGGAAGGAAAGCCTGCCCCTGCAGCTGGAAGCGCTCACTGTCGTTGAAGAGATCTGTGAACAAACACCCCACGTCCTCAGCGGCCCGGACCTCCAGGGCCAGTGTCACCAAGGACGCTGAGACGCCACGGCTGCAGGGGGCAGCCGACAGCTTCACCTGAGAGGAAGGCTGCGCCCAGACAGACAGAAAGGGAGCCCAGCGGGGCTCCTTCGCTCGTCCACATGGCTACCATCAGCGGGCCATGAGGCCGCTTCCCAGGCAAGGATGCACATCTATCAAAAACCCAACAGATCTCGTCGTAAAGCCTGGGCCTCGGCACATGTGGTGAAGAGCAGGGCTATTCTTGATGAGTCTGAGGATGTCCTCCAGGGGCGGGGCCACGAGAGCGCAGTGGTGGTCAGCCTCGCCTCCACCCGTGCCAGCCACGGGAAGGACTCAACCAGATTAGTACCTAAACCAGAGCCGGCCCCCAGAAGAGGGCCACCAGTTAGCTCCCCTGCGCACACGCCTCCCGCCCCGCCCCTGCCTAAGGCAGACAGACTGGCAGGCAAAGGAGCAGCCACTCCTCTGGCCTCTGACAGCACAGGAGCCCTGGGCAGGAGACAGCTCACTCCCTCTTCCCCAGGGGTTCCTGGCCCTGGGTCCGCAGTGTCCCCCCAACACACACCTCTCCACTGGCAGCCTGAGCCCCAGCAGCTGTGTCCCACTCTGCCATCTGGGCCTGAGCTAAAAGCCAGCTTCCCAAATTAAATTAAAAATAAAAAGGCTGCCCTAGCCAGTTTGGCTCAGTGGATAGAGTGTCAGCTGGTGGACTGAAGGGTCCCAGGTTCAATTCCCGGTTTGCGGACTCAGTCCCCAGTGGAGGGCGTGCAGGAGGCAGCCAATCAATGATTCTCTCTCATCACTGATGTTTCTATCTCTCTCTCCTTCTCCCTTCCTCTCTGAAATAAACAAACAAACAAACAACAACAACAACAACAAAAATATATATATATATATATATATTTTTTTTTTTTTTTTTTTTTTTTTTTTAAATAGGCTGCCAGAGTACCTTCTGGTGCCCGCAGCAGCAGGGCTCCCTGCAGGGCTGCCACTCCTCCTCACGTCAGCTGCAGAGAATAGCGGGGCGCAGTCCTCCTCCCGCCCCACCTTCCTCCCGTCCGTGTTCAACTCACAACCTGTCTTCCCTCACCTGGCTCAGTAAAGAGCTCCCGCTCTCATTTCTCAGCACAGCATCAGCACAGGAGCAAACGATGGGTAAGCAGGTAAATGCGGCGGTTGGGGGCGGGGGAGGGGGGGTGCCTTGATTCGCACAGCATCAGCGATGGAGAGGTCAGAAGCTCCGTCCCAGGCAGAGTCGGGGCCAGGCCCCAAGGATCCCAGAGGGAGGAAACTCCATAAATGCATCCTGGGATGGGCAGGGCTCCGCTCTGGGCTACCCCAAAAAGGGAGACCCTGGCCACCCCCAGAGACTCACCGGCCAGCGGGCTCCATCCGGGACCAGGGCAAGCACGTCCACATCCAGCAGGTGCTCTGAGATCCGGCTGCGAAAACCAAAGTCCTGGAGACGGTGGGCGGGAAGGTCAACACTGGCCCTCACCCCGGCACCCACCAGGCCCCTCCCCAGCCTCCCAGGAAGACCCGCCACACGCCAGGCACTGCACCAAATGTTCTGTCATCTAATTACTGTAATCTTCAAAGCAACACATGAGCAGACGGAAAGAGGTGACCAAGCAAGTATGCTAACAGGCTCGCTGTGGACTGCAGGTGTGCGCGCAGTCGCTGTAAATCCTCTGAATCGCTCTGTATGGTTGAAATTTCTCATAGAAAAGTCTGAAGAAAAGAGCCCCGCTAGAGCAGTTCTCCTATTCGCATCTCCCAGCTGAGGAAGAGGCCTCACCGCATCTGTCACTTCCCCAAGGTCGCGCCACTGACAGACAAGGGGCTGCGGGCAGATGTGCCCGGGACAGACTCCAAAGCCCAAGCTCTTGGCATGATACCTGCCGCAAAGCTTGTCCCTTCCCGCCGTCTCTCCCTCCTGTGCCCACCGAAGCGCCCGGAGACCTGTGGCAGCTCGGAAACGGTGTGTGGGTTCCTCCCACTCGTCCCGCTCACATACAGGTGCCTCCGAACCACGGGCACTCCCAGCAGCTTCCTCACAGGCTTCTCGCTGGGGCAGGCGGCAAGCGCCACACAGGAGCCAGCCCCCTGCTGCCCCGGCTGCCAGGTAACCATGCTGCCGCCCCTCCACCCGAGATCCCACTGGGCAAGGTGAGGGGCTGCGACCTGGCAGCATGCTACCAGGGACAGCTGTCATCAGCCCTGACAAATGGCGGCGGCCCAACCACGTTCTGGCCTGCAGCCCGTGCTGTCCTCCAGCCACCCGCTCAGAGAAGCGAGGGCGGCTGGGCACCGCCTCCACACAGTGGCCCCTCGGAAGGACAGAGCCCACCAAGAGCCCCGCCACGTGGCCCTTCTCCACGCGGCCTTGCCCGCAGGGGCTCTGCCTTGCCTTCCTAGCTTATGAGTCCTTTTTGGTGACATCTTCCTTTCAGGCTGAGTTCTACTCCACTTAATGCAGCTGCCATCTGCCTCCTTAGGCTCACATCACTGCTGCTCAGCCAGACCCGCTTCCCTGAGCCCATCCCCTAGACCACCTCCTCCAAACAGAGGGAGCGCGGCCTCCAGAGGCAATGCTTGGCCCGAATGCATCCGAAGCACGCCCCCCATCCCCCCCACCCCGCCCGAGACACAGGCCTGGCGGGCGCGGGACACTGCAGGCTGCAGGAAGGGCTGGACAAGGAAACCATGGAGGCTGCATTCTAGGACTACGTCCTAACTTTAGATATGAAACCCCAGCACCCGCCTGGCCAGAGCCCGAGACGGTCCTCGCCATCGCTCAGTGATCACACACACACACACACACATGCACACGCGTGTGCACACACACACATACACACACACACGGTCTGTGGCCGCCTAGATCCGGGGGACGTTCCTGCGGAGCCCAGAGGCGCTGACTTCGCAGGACCTCGGGACATTCACACGGCAGCCCTGGCAACAGCAGCGACCTTTCTTTAAGGTTTATGTGCTGATGGTTCCCTCAACCCAATTTCTTCCCATGACAAGCTATGAAGTAGGTGGTATTATCCTTAGTGATGGCCTAAGAAACTGGAGTCAGACAAGACTGAAGTTTGACTCATACTTCCCCAGGTATAAGCTGTGATGAGAGGCAGACACTTAAGCACCGTGACCTGCGAGCGCACGCCTTCTCCTGTCCCCTGCTCCCTCCTCTGACTCACCAGGCCAAGGAGGGACTTGGAGTTGGAGGCATCGGAGTCTGAGCCCTGTAGCTCCTTCACGTGTTCACTGATCTCCAGAGCCTGGGAAGACAGATCCACAGCAGTCACCAGGACAAAGGGCAGGGGGTCATGATTGCTGGGGAGACAGACCTACAGTCAGTCACCAGGACAGAGGGCAGGGGGTCATGATTGCTGGGGAAACAGACCTACAGACAGTCACCAGGACAGAGGGCTGGGGGTCATGATTGCTGGGGAGACAGACCTACAGACAGTCACAAGGACAGAGGGCTGGGGGTCATGATCACTACCCAGGGAGCTGTCAGGCCAGGACGCCAACATGGGGCTAAGTCCAACCAGAGCCCGCCTTTTCTGGAAAACTGAGAGGCCTATGGACTCTCCCATTCTCTCTGGACATAGATGCCAGCCCCAGCCCCTGAGCTGGCAGCCCAGGTGAGTATGGACAAGAAGGGTCTGCATGCTAAGGAGAGCCAGTGAGTGCAGTGGGCATAGCTAGGGAAGTTTGATGCTATCCTGAAAACAAACACAGCATGGGGGTATCCTTCCCAGAAGCAGTTAAGAGCTCCTTAAATGAATTCCCCCACCATCCACCTGGAGAAGCAGCAGGACTAAGGGCTGGAAAACCAAAAATGCCCACGGCTCTCCCCGTCTGGCTTCTGTCCATCAGGTCATGGCCAGGTCTTGGATTGGTGCAGAAAGAGCCACAGAAATCAATGAGGAGTCGTCTTATGACCTAACTGCCCAGGGCTGAGCAGGAACCCCAACTGCCTTGCCCACTCGAGGTACTCCTCTCTCTGCAGGAACTCAGATTGCTGCAAGCAAGGCCAATCCCAAACTGAAGGCACGAAGCAGCAGGAGAGCCCGGGCAACGTGGCTCAGCAGTTGAGCGTTGACCCAGGAACCAAGAGGATCCCAGTCAGGGTGCACACTGGGGGTGGGCGGGGGGGGGGGGGGGGGGGGGGCGCGCGCCAGGTTGCGGGCTCGATCCCCAGTAGGGGGCGTGCAGGAGGCAGCCAATCAATGATTCTCTCCCATCACTGATGTTTCTATCTCTCTCTCCCTCTCCCTTCCTCTCTCTCTAAAAATCAATAAAAATATATTTTTAAAAAAAGGAAAAGTAGCAGGGGAGGTGGGAATGGGAGAGGAGGGATTAGACCAGAAGACGTGGCAATCCCAGGAGGCTCCCAAAGGAAAGGCCAGTGTCTGCTGCGAATTCCCTCAGGAGCTACCGCCCGCTGAGTGGGCCTGCTTACCACAACAAAGGCCTCTGGCTGCTGCCCACGCCCACTGCCCACCCAGGCCTGTTGTGGGGAGGGGGGGGGCTCCTGCCTCCATGGCAGGCCTGGGCGAGGGAGCAGCCAAGGCTGCCCAGGGCGCCTATGGGACAGACTCACGTCACTGGCGTCTGATCCGCTCTCTCCCGGGACAGGGGCCTCCTCCTCCGGCTCCGTTGCGGCCTCCTCCTTCCTGGAAGCCTCCCCCGCTGCAGCCGGGTCCTGGGGTGCGTCTCTCTTACTGGACATGGCGGGCTGGTCGCCCCCAGGGCCCACCAGACTCGTGGCCGTTGTTGTCGCAGGGTCACTCTGGTGACTCTTGTCTCTTCCTGGGAGCCGGGCACTCGCCCCTTCTCCCTGTCGCCCTCTGCTGCCTGCACTGGCCAGGCTGCTGTCTGCACCTCGGCCGGAGAGCCTGCCGGGAGTCGGGGGGCGGGCAGCACCCGAGTCAGGAGAGAGGGCCTTCTCCTCGCGCTGGCTTGTTCCTGGAGACTCCTGGGAGAGTGGGCCAGGTCAGAAAGGAAGACGGCAGAGTTAGCACACGGCGTTTAGAGGCTTGCTCCAAGTCGGGTCTCCTCGACGCCTAGGCCACTGCTCCAGTCCTGACACCAGTGGCTATCAAGCACCCTCAAAGCTTTGGGGAGCACAGACCCCTGGCTCCCAGACCCGCTGACTCCAAATGCCATGGTGATTCGGGGAGGCCCCACCAGACCCCGTCCGCAGAGGAGCAGGGAAACCTCTGCCTGGAGGTCCGCCGCCACCCACCTGCCATGTCCTCAAGGGACGAGCCTCTCATTCCAGCCCCAAGAGACAAATCGTAAGATTGCAGACGGTCAGAATCTATTCACAATGACTGTGACGGAGAATCACGTGAGAAAAACACCAGAGTCTAGGATTTCTATTTCTCATCTTTAAAAGGCAGCAGGGAGGACACCTTCCTCACAGCAGCAGGTGCAGCCACCGCCCAAGCCCCCTGCACAGGCCCTGGGACAGGTCCTCGTGGGAGCACCCACTCAGGCTCTGAGCACATGTGCCAGGATGGGCCAGGGTGCCATCCATTTACTGTGAAGGATAAAGGAGGGAGGGAAGCCTTCGAACACGGGTCTCAGACCTCCGTCCGGAGGAATGGAAGGAGGACACTTGAGGAGGAAGCCTCGGGCCACAGCAGTTCTGAGGAATGTGTGTGGGGGGGGGGGGGGGGCGGGCGTGGCGCACATCAGATAGAAATGTCCCTGTTCCAGGGCCTGCTGCACCCCATCCACTCCATCAGCAACACGGCCTTGGCAGGAGCCACAGGGGAGCAAAGTCCAGCAGCTGGGGGCTGTTGACCTGCCCCGGGCCCTCCACCAGGGCCTCCTGAAAAACAACCTGGGCAGGGACTCCACCACTGCTGCACCCTGCTGCTCACACACACCTCGCTTCACACCTGCTGCTCACACACACCTCGCTTCACACCTCCTGCTCACACACACCTCACTTCACACCTGCTGCTCACACACACCTCACTTCACACCTCCTGCTCACACACACCTCGCTTCGAAGACTAGGATACCTTTGGAGCTGAGCTGGTCTAAATAAACACAGGGCCCCTTCCCTGCCCCAGAAATGCAGCCAGTGACCTCTCCTGAGTTCAGGCCGGGACACCTTCCCCCAGAAAACACCTGTGCCCACACCTGAGCTGCCAGTGCGCACAACATCCGAGACCTCCCTACCCCAGTCACCCAAACAGGGGGCCTGACAACTAGAGTCCACAGGCCCAAGGAGCAGCCCCAGCACAGCATCCACTGACGCTGCCTGTCAGGGGGCTGCTGCACCCACAGCCAAGGCGCCTGCCTGCAGGACCAGCAGCCCACTGACCAGCCGCCCAGACATGCCAGGGCCCATAAGGAGAGGCAGGGAATTGCAGCCTCTCAGAAGGAAACTCTCTGCCCATTTATCCTCTAAAATACAGGGATACAGCCCTAGCCAGTTTGGCTCTGTGGATAGAGCATCGGCCCTCAGACTGAAGAGTCCCTGGTTCAATCCCGGTCAAGGGCACATAACTCAGTTGCAGGCTGATTCTCGACCCCAGTCGGGCACGTGTGGGAGGCAACCAGTCAATGTGTGTCTCTCACTTCAATGTTTCTCTCTCTCTCTCTCTCTCCCCCTCCCTTCCACTCTCTCTAAAAATCAATGGAAAAATATCCTTGGGTAAGGATTAACAACAACAAAAATACAGGGACTGAAGGAGGCCTGCCTCATAGCGTTATTGGAAAGATGAAATGAGCAACAGTCATGGAGCCAAAGAACTTACAGCTGTGCCTAGCATACCATGATAGGTCCATAAATATTAACTGATGTGTTCTGACAAGACCCACACATTCATTCACTGAGACTCATGTGCCAAGCACCACCTTGGGGACCTAAATATGAACAAGACGTGGATGGCCCTGGAGGAATTCAGATGAGTATGGAGAAAAGTGAAACGTCACAGGTGGCCTGGGTTAGGAGCCTTTACTGCTCGGAGCGAAGGGCACTGGACCTGGCGGTGACACACCCAGGGAGAAAAGCATGGAGGCAGGGCACCCGCCAGTGCTGCCCGTCCTCGCAACACCCCCAACCTGCCACATGGGAGAAACAGGCCTCAATCACAGAGCTGAGAGAAGGAGCAGGATAAGCTCCTCTTCTTCAAGACAAGCATCTCCAGGGCGAGGCAGACTCCTCATCTCAACATCCCCAAGAGTGGCCAGCTCGCAGCACAACCAGTTTGGGCGGCTCCAAGGACTCCAAGGAGGAGGCGGGGGTCCTTGGGATAGGCGAGGGTGTCTGGCAGCCACACTGCCTCACTCATCAGAAGCAGGCCGATCCCCCAGCCATGCTCACCTCAGGACCAAAAAAAGGGCAGCAGACCCAAGATGGCAGCATAGGTAAATGCCAGTACTCGCCTCCTCCCACAAACACATCAAAATTACAGCTAAAATACAGAACAACCATGATTCAGAACCACCTGAAATCTAGCTAAATGAAGTCCTACAACTAGAGAATTAAAGAAGAAGAAACATTGAGACTACTAGGAGGGGCGGAGGCACGGAAAGGGCCGGTCCGACATCCACATGTGGCATGTTTTTAATCGGGAGTGAGATCATCTCTGCGGAAGCTGCCCGTGAGGAGCAATGGGTCCCAGCCCCACACCAGACTCCCAGCCCAGGGTTCCAGAGCTGGAAAGACAAGTCCCTATAAGTTCAGGCTGTAAAAACCAGTGGAGATTATGACTGAGTGACATGGAGGCTGCTGGAGTCCCAGGCAGCTCCTCTTAAAGGGCTGCCACACGAACTTACTCAGACTCGATCCCTTTGGGCTCCAGTGCCAGGGTAGCGGCTTGAAAGGAATCTGGGACACTTGGAGAAAAACTAGATTGTCGGGCATCAGGGCAAGAACTCTGGAGGCAGCTTTCTCCCAGGAGGAGGTGCTCACAGGGGTCATTGTTCTGGTGCTGGAACCTTCCCAGTCACAGAGCTGACTGGCAGCCATATCTGAATTTCCATCAGCTTGGCCCACACTTTGAATTCCTTGAGACCCTGCCCCACCCAAGCCGTCTGCAGAGGCTTTTCCATACAAATGGCCTGTCCTGGCTCAGGTTTCAGACTTTCCCAAATCTCTCAAACAAGCTGTAGCTGGTGAGAGCATGCCCCAAATCTATCAATAAGAGGCCCAAGATCCGGCACTAGCACCAGCCTGACTTGCTTCACAGAGTGGCCTCTCCTGGGCACCTCCAAGCCCAATACAAATAGCAGCAATCTCTAGATCTCTCTGTAGCTCCTGCCAGGTGGCCTCTGGCAGTGGCTGACTTTGCACCTCCCAGGAGGCCCCAGAGCCAGTGCACCTCGTGGACAGCTTCAGACCATAGCAGATTACAACTCTACACATCCACAGTGACACACTCAAGGGGCAGACTCAGTGAGCACCAAGCCCCAGTGAAGCAAGTCCTGCTCCATAGAGGTGTCTCCTGCACAGCAGCTCTTCCACTGTAGTCACAGCTGGTCCTCACAGCCAATTAGCCTGGAGGTCAGTTCCTCCCAGTGATGCCAACAGCAATCAAGGCTCAACTACAAGACTATGCACACAGCCCACAAAGGGCACCCAGAGTGCCCAGCTCAGGTGACTGGAGAGGCTGAGCCACTGGACCCTACAGGACACCTACTATAAGAGGCCACCCTACCAATTCCGGGAGACATAGCAGCTCTACCTAACACATGGGAACAAACATAGGGAAGTAGCCAAAATGTGGAGACAAAGAAAAATGTCAGAAATGAAAGCAAGAAAACTACTGGATACAGAGTTCAAAACCATGGTTTTATAAGGTTACTCAAGGATCTTCATGGGAGCTTCAAGGGACTTAGTGAGACTTTCAAGAATCTTAGTGAGAATTTCAAATATATGAAAAAGGACCAGTCAAAAATTAAGCATAATTAACTGAAATAAAGAATAATTTACAGGGATTCAACAGTAAAGTAGAGGATTCTGAGAATCAAATAAATAATTTGGAATATGAGGGAGCAAAAAAACAATCAGAAGAGCAAAAAGAAAAAATAATCCAAAAATATGAAGATAATATAAGGAGCCTCTGGGACAACTTCAAGTGTACCAACGTTCACCTTATGGAGGTGCCAAAGGAGAAGAGAGAGAGCAAGATATTGAAAACCTATTTGAAGAAATAATGACATAGTTCTACCTGGTTTGGCTCAGTGGACAGAGCGTTGGCCTGTGGACTGAAGGGTCCCAGGTTCAATTCTGGTCAAGGACACATGCCCAGGTTGTGGGCTCAATCCCCAGCAGGGGGCATGCAGGAGGCAGCCAATCAATGATTCTCTCTCATCATTGATGTTTCTATCTCTCTCCCCCTCTCCCTTCCTCTCTAAAATCAATAAAAATATATTTTTTAAAAAAGAAGAAAAAGAAAAAAGAAAGAATGACATAAAACTTCCCCTACCTGGTAAAAGAAATAGGATTACAAGTCCAGGAAGCCCAGAGAGTCCCAAACAAGAGGAACCCAAAGAGGCCCAAACCAAGACACATCAATATTAAAGACAAAGAGAGAATCTTAAAAGCAGCAAGAGAAAAGCAGTTAGTTACCTACAAGGGAGTATCCTACGACTGTCAGCTGATGTCTCAACAGAAACTTTATGGCCAGAATAGAGTGGCAAGAAATATTTCAAGTGATGAATAGCAAGGACCTACAACCAAAATTACTCTACCCAGCAAAGCTATCATGTAGAATTGAAAATGAGATAAAGAGCTTCAGAGACAAGAAAAAGCTAAAGGAGCTCATCACCACCAAACCAATATTACATGAAATGTTGAAGAGTATTCTTTAAGAAGAGGAAAAAGAAAAGAGGGGGGCCGAAACCGGTTTGGCTCAGTGGATAGAGCATCGGACTGCGGACTGAAAGGTCCCAGGTTCGATTCTGGTCAAGGGCATGTACCTGGGTTGCCAGCACATTCCCAGTGGGGACTGT